AACAAATTAAATAAACTAGAAAAAATTTTTAAATGTCTACATATATACTACCTACAAAGACTGGATCATGAAGAAATAGAAAATCTAAACACATGGGCAACAAGTAAAGAGAATGAATAAGTAGTAAGAAAACTCATTTTTAAAAATCCCAGAACCCAATGGATTCCCTGCTGAATTCTACCAAATATTTAAAGAACTAATGTTCATACTTCTCAAACTCTTCCAAGAAATCAAAGATAAGGAAATACTTTTGAACCCTTTTCATAAGGCATTACTTTCATACAAAAGTCAGACAAAGGCATTATAAGAAAAGAAAATTACAGGCCAATTTCCCTGAGGACATAAATGTGAAAATCTTCAACAAAATAATAGAAATTGAAATTTGACAACATATTAAAAGGATTATTCACCATGATCAAGTAGGATTTATCTGTGGGAAGCGGGATGATTCAACACAAGCAAATCAATGTTATAGATCATTTTAACAATGACAGACAAAACCAAATTATTATCTCATTAGATGCAGAGAAAGCATTTGACAAAATTCAACATCCTTCTATGATAAAAACTTTCACCAATCTAGGTATAGAAGGAATGTACCTCAACACAATAAAGGTCATATATGATAAGCCCACAGCTAACTCACTGGTGAAAAATGGAAAGCCTTTCCTCTATGATCTGGAACAAGACAAAGACACTCATTCTGACCACTTCTATTCAACATAGTATAAGTTCTTGACAAAGCAATAAGGCAAGAGAGAAGTAAAAGCCTCTAAATATGAAAGGAAGAAATAAAATTGTATTAAAAACAGACAGAAGGACCAATGAAACCAAATCGAAAGTCAAGAAATGAACTCGCACATGTATGGTCATTTGATTTTGACAAAGGTGCCAAAAACACACAACAGAATAATCTCTTCACTAAATGATGTTGAGAAAACTAGATGTCCACATGCAGAAGAATAAGAGGACCCTCACCTCATGTCATATGCAAAAATTGGATCAAAATGGATCAAAGACTTAAACCTAATACCTAATACTGTACAACTACTAGAAGAAAACATGAGAGGGAAACTACATGGCATTGCTCTAGGCAGTGATATATCGGATTTGACCCCCAAAGCACAGGCAACAAATACAAAAATAGACAAAAGTAAAATAGATCAAAGGAAAAAGCTTCTGCATAGCAAAGGAAACAATTAAGTGTGAAGAGATTGTATTAGTCTGCTCTCCTGCTGCTGATAAAGACGTACCTGAAACTGGGTAATTGGCAAAGAAAAAGAGGTTTAATAGACTCACAGCTCCACACGACTGGGGAGGCCCCACAATCATGGCAGAAAGAAAAAGGCACATCTTACATGGCAGCAGGAAAGAGAGATAATGAGAGCCAAGTGAAAGGGGTTTCCCCTTATAAAATAATCAGTTTTTGTGAGACTTATTCACTACCTCAAGAACAGTATAGAGGAAACCACTCCCATGATTCACTTATCTCCCATTGGGTCCCTGCCACAACACGTGGGAATTATGGGAGCTACAATTCAAGATGATATTTGGGTGGGGACACAGTCAAACCATATCAGAGATAATCTATGAATAAGAAGAAAATATTTGCAGTCTTATATTCAATAAGGGATTAATACTGAAAATATGTAAGGAACTCAAAAAATACAATAGCAAGAAAACAAATAACCTGATTTTAAAGTGGACAAAGGATAGAAATATCCATTTATCAAAAAAAGACATACAAATGGCTGACAAATAGATGAAAAAAAAATGCCCAGCATCACTATTAGAAAAATGCAAATTAAAACCACAATGACATAGCACCTCATTCCCATCAGAATGACTATTATTAAAAACATGAATTAAATGTGTTAACAAGAATGTGGAAAAAGGAGAATGCTTGTATACTGTTGGTTGGAATATAAATTATTAGAGTCATTATTGGAAACTGTATATAGGTTCCTTTAAAAACTAGTAATAGAATTATAACACGATTCAGCAATCTCACTTTTGGACATTTACCCAAGAGATTTGAAATCAGTTTATCAAAGGGATGTCTTTCCTCCCATGTTTAACATTTTGTACATGTGTGTACTTGACATATCAAGCAATGAACTAGAGGACTAAGAGCTAACACACGCCAAGAGTAAAATACATTAGAAACAAAACAGAAATTTTGCACAGTATAATATCTACATATTTTAATTAACTTGCAGTCAGAACTATTTAATTCTGAGTCACAAGAAAATTTTTAGATGTGTCCTTTTCTTGGTTTTGTTTTCTTTTTAATTGCAAAAGATATTCTGTGCAATTGAGCTTCCAAAGTTACTTGATTGAAAAGTAACTTTTTTTAAATCTATTTTTTTAAACCAAAAAACACTTTTCATCTTTGGCAAAAAGACAAAGAGTCATTTGTATGCACCTTTAAATGAAGGCTTTCATTTGAAATCAGACATGTTAACTGAAAAATAGTTACATTTAAAGTGTTTTCTACAATTAATCTATATTTCTGCAAAATTCCATGGACTTATTCAGAACACTGCACCTGCTATAATGCCTTGAACACACATACAATAGTTAACACTCCAAAAACATTTGTTCAGTTTAACTATTTAGAAAAGATAAGACACCTCTTGACTTTGGCCCCTGGTAGTATGATTACTAGACATTCCAAAAGACCTTTGTACTACAAAACTATAAGATTTTGGATAAAGCATACTTCTAATGCAATGCTAGCTTCATGGGAAATATGAGGAATCTGCAAATCTCTTACCCCAGAAAAAAAAAAAAAAGTGGCTCAAACCAGACTAGAGAGTATGAGCTCAAATAGCAAACAAATACTAATGGCAAGATCCATTAAGGGCACATACCAACGTGTTGCCACTTGAAGATCTCTATTCTCAGACCTGCTCTATGTCCTTAGAGGGGAACTGAGACTGCTATCGATTCCCCATTCAAATTCATAATCCTCATTAAGTCTCGGGCCGTCAAATAGAACTAAAGTACCTCCAGATCAGCAGAATCTTATGACTATCAGATTAAATAAATACAAATCCTTTCCAGAAGAAACCAAAATCACAAGCAAAAAAATAAAGAAAATTGATGAATTTGTCATCAATCTTTAAAACGCTTGTGCCCCAAAGTACACCATCAAGAAAGGGAGAAGGCAACACACAGAATGGAAGACAATGTTTTCCAAATACTGTATATGATAAGGGACTTTTGATTAGAATATATAAAGAATACTTTCAACTCAGTAATTTAAAACAAATTAAAAATGGGTAAAGAGTATGAATACAATTTTCTCCACAGAAAATACACACAAATAGCCAAAAAACATATTGTATTAAATTTGCTAAGGTTACTCTAATAAACTACCACAGACTAGGAGGTTTAAGCATCAGAAATTTTCTCCCAGTTCTCAGGGTTAGAAGTCTAAAATGATGGCCATCGGTTTTTTCTGAGGGTCTCACCCCTTGCTTGTAGGACGGCCATCTTCTCACTGTGTCTTCACATGGCCTTCCTTCTGTGAGGGTCTACATCCTAATCATCTCTTTGTATAAGGACAACGGTCACATTGGGTAGCCTAATTTAATCTCAACCACCTCTTTAAAGATGTTATCTCAACTGAGTGTAGTGGCTCATGCCTATAATCCCAGCACTTTGGGAGGCTGAGGCAGGCGAATTGTGAGGTCAATAGCAAAACCATCCTAGTTAATATGGTGAAACCCCGTCTCTCCTAAAAATACAAAAATTAGCTGGGTGTGGTGGTGCACACCCGTAGTCTCACAGTGAGTGGAGATCACACTACTGCATTCCAGTCTGGCAACAGAGCCAGTCCGTCTAAAAAAAATAATCTTATCTCCAAATACAGTCACATTCTAATGTACTAGGGGTGCGAACGTCAATCTGTGAATTTTAATGGGATGCCATTCAGCCCATAGTGCACATGAAAAGATGATCAATTTTATTAGCTATTGGGGAAATGAAAATCAAAACCAAATAGATACCACTTCACACTTATGAAGGTTATTATGATAAAACATATGAGAAAAAGTATTGATGAAAATGTAAAGAAATTTAAAACTTCATACATGAGAAATATGAAAGAGTAAAGCTACTTTGAAAAAAAAAGGTCTGGGAGTATCTTGAACAGTTAAACATAGAGTTACCACATGACCTAGCAATTGCACTTAGGCATATACTCAACAAAATAAGTATATATGTCTACACAAAGACTTGTACCCAAATGTTTGCAGCAGTACTATTAATCATGGTCAAAAAGTGAAAATAACACCATAAAAAGAAATGAAGTGCCAATACATAGTACAAGATGAACAAAATTTGAAAATATGCTCAGTGAAGATGTCAGTCACAGAAGACTATATATTGTATAATTCTGTTTGGGTGAAATATCAAGAATAGGCAAATGCATAGACACAAGAAAGTAGGCTAGGGATTCCTTAGAATCGTTGAGGAAAAACGTTGAAAAGAATGGGTGGTGATTGCTAATAGCTGCAGGGTTTTGTGGGAAGGGATGATGAAAATGTTGTAAATTGTATTGTGTTTGTTGATGCACAACTCTATGTATATACAAAAGCCATTGAATTGTATGTTTTAAGTTGATAAATTGTATAATATATGAATTACATCTCAATAAAGCTGTTATAATTTTAAAAATATCATCCCTGAAAGAAAGGAACCCAAGTTTTGTCAGTTAGATTCCCACAAACTAAGATTGATAAAATACAAACTCATAATCAAAGATTGCCAAACATGAAAGTAAATAAACTACCAAGACTGAGTCCAGCAGAAAAAAAAAAATGAAAAAAGACTCAGATACACTATTTTCTAATATTTAAGAAATAATATTAAATAGAGAATATTAAATATCTATGTAAAACACATTAAAAGACTAATCACAAGAAACTATCAAGTAAGAAACAGATTTGAAAATACTGAAATTTCAAATTTTAAAATGAAAACAGTTACTGAAATTAAAACTTCATGTGAGTCACACAGAAGATTAGATTAGATATGGCCAAAGAGATCATTATAAAGTGAAAAACAAGTCTGAAAACAAATGCCCTCACTGCAACCTAGAAAGATAAGGAATTATGAAAGAGAGATTTAAAGAGAATTAGGAAGAGATAATATTTGATGAGATAGTGGCCAAGAAATTTTCGGAATTTATGGAAGTCATTGATCTGCCTGTGAGAATGTTCTATGTGCCAAGCAGGATAAGAAGGAAAAAACGTCCACTTAGACACTGGACCAAAACTATAGAACTCCAAAAATAGACATAACACATTAAAACAAATAGAAAAAGATTATTTACCAAGGAAGGCAATTAGACAGAAAACAGTGTTCTCAACAAATACAACAGAAAAACACAATTACTGTCTCCTTTTCCTTGAAAAGGGAACTGTAATTTACTTTTGAGTATCAGTAAATTTTGTTCTTGAATAAGAGAGGAAATTTTATTCTTAGCTCAGCAGTGAGAAATATTGATATAGTTAAAAAAAAAATTCTGAAACTGTCTCATTCTGTTACCCAGCCTCACTGCAGTCTCAATCTCCTGGGCTCAAGCAATCTTCACACCTTAGCCTCCTGAGTAGCTAGGACTACAGGGGCAATTCACTGTGCCAGCTTTTTTGCTTTTAGTAAAGGTACAGTCTTGCTTTCTTGTCCAGGCTGGTCTTGAACTCCTTCTGTTAAATCAGATGATACGTCCTTAAAAAAATTGACAACTTGAAGAAACAGTCTTTGAAATCAATAATTTAATGTTTAATGTATACTTTTATGTATGTTCATTCACATTAAAAGTAAATTATACTAACTTTAATTTAAATGTAACTTAAATATTCCAATAAGGAAGAAGCGTACATTGACCTTACTACAGATCTGGTTTCCTAGCCAAATTGGAGGCGAATATAATAATATGCCTCTGTTTATGTTATGACATACATAATGTCTACTTATAATACCTCTCAATAGAATTCATAGGAGAAAAAAATTGTCATAAGTTACATCTTTCTTTAAACGACTTGGCTAGAGGCCACATAATTCCCTTTAAACTCAATTATCTCACAACTGAATGCTCTGATAACTTGCTAAAAGCAGCAGACACAGTGTTATTAGTGAGCCAGGAGAAGGGGAAACCCCAGAGCATCCATCAGCCATCTTCATTTGTCTACAATCAGCTCCTTCATATCCCTGATAACAATGACAGGAAAACTTATCTGCCATCACTGCCAGGTCTGTATCAGATGCTTTTCCTTTCACAGTAAATTCCCCGTCCTCAGAGGCCTCTATGTGGTAACTTGCAGGGTTCAAGTGAAGGTAACTGGGTGCGTTCCACATCTTCCTTATGCACCTCCCATTGTTCCTGCAGAGGTGAAAGCTGCACACCTCAGCAGCTCCAGTCACATTGACTATGTAGCTCCCTAAATCAGAACTCACAAACTGCTTCACCTTTGTACAGTTGGCCTAGAAATGTAGAAAGAAATCAGTTTTAGTGTTTCTCCCTGGTACTGATAGAATTAGAGCTTCTAGGCCCACAAGGTAGTCTTTGGTCTTGATTAAAACATAATGTCTTGGTTCCAGGTGTTGAACTTGTAGGCTTCTGGACACTAACAAGGGCCCCAAAACAGAAAAGGGAGAGGTCTGAGGGGCAGGAGATAGAGACTATGTTAGAGTAAAGCTAAGCAACTGAACTTGCAAATGGCCCCCAGAATCAGCACATGAGACCTTGACCTTCTCCAATTTACATTCCTTTTTTTTTTTTTTGAGACGGAATTTCTCTCTTGTTACCCAGGCTGGAGTGCAATGGCGCGATCTCGGCTCACCGCAGCCTCTGCCTCCTGGGTTCAAGCAATTCTCCTGCCTCAGCCTCCTGAGTAGCTGGGATTACAGGCACGCACCACCGTGCCCAGCTAATTTTTTGTATTTTTAGTAGAGACGGGGTTTCACCATGTTGACCAGGATGGTCTCGATCTGTTGACCTCATGATCCACCTGCCTAGGCCTCCCAAAGTGCTGGGATTACAGGCTTGAGCCACTGTGCCCGGCCCCTCCAATTTACATTCTTTTTTCCTTCCTTCTTACTCCCAAGTTAATGGGTATAAAAGAAAAAGGAAAAAACCCAAATTAGGAATTGTGTGGAACTGCTGCCCTCAGACCACCATTCAGGTATGTGGGGTCTTCCATGGTTGTGTTAGAACCTGAATCATAGTCCATCATTTATTGTCAAATCATCATATTCCACCATTCTACCATGTATTATAGCCTTTTGGATTTTCCTGTTAATTTCCATCAACTGCCCTGGGTCCTACACTTCTAACACAATTCAAACACAGGAAAGCCTGTGTGGCTGACTAGGTAACTTTTGTGTATGCGGTTCTGGTTTTCGAAACAGAGGCCACCTGGGTTGTGCACCCACCTTCCTTTTCTATGTATCAGGCACTGATTCGGAATATTTATTCTAGAGCTGATGAAGCTCTTCTCATGAGCCACCTAAGGGCCGTGGTGAAAATATCACACCTGGAAAGTCAGGAATTAATTCTCTCAGTTCCTATTTCTCATACATGGGCATAGGCATGAACAGTTTCATGAAGACTATCTCAGTAGCAACAAATTGAGCCTGTGAAATTCTAAGGATAGTATCACGTAGTCATGGACTTGCAAAAAATTCAATTTAACAAAAAGTGTCAAGGGTATTCAAGGTAAAATGTATTACACTACAGAAATATAAACAAACAGCATCTGGAAATACGGAAGAGATTATGATTAATGGGGATTGGGGAAAACTAGGAATCTTTCCTGGAGTAAAAAATAAGAGCCATATACATCTTTTTTTTTTTTTTTTTTGACAGCGTCTCACTCTGTCAAACAGGCTGAAGTGCAATGGCGCGATCTCAGCTCACTGCAACCTCTGCCTCCCAGCTTCAAGCCATTCTCCTGCCTCAGCCTTCCGAGTAGCTGGGATTATAGGCATGTGCCATCACACCAGGCTAATTTTTAAATTTTTGGTAGAGATTGGCTTTCACCAAGTAAGGCTGGTCTCGAACTCCAGGCTTCAAGTGATCCCATCTCCCAAAGTGTGGGGATTACAGATGTGAGCCACTGCTCCCGGCCATAAATCTTATTATAAATGCTGTTAGTTTTCAGCTGATTTCTCTATAGACAAAAAATAACTTCAATGTAGAGAGTTAAAAAGTTACCACCTGTTTCTACCTCTTAGAATAGTATAAAACACATTTGCTATCGTTGTTAAATGCAAGGGGTCCATCATCAAACTGTGGCTAATGCCAACTCTACCACTAACTATCTTAAATAGCTGTTAACCTAGTTAGGTTTCCTCTCTAGTTTCACCATCTGTAAATGAGGATGACAGTCACTACCTCATGTGACCAGTAAGTGAGCAAATCTGACTCAAAAAATCTCTTAGTGCAACCTTAGCACATCATAAATATTCATCAAACGTCAGTGTTATGATTACTATCTTTATAAAAGTTAACAATGTTGTTTAGCCTTTTCTATGTATCAGGCACTGATCTGGAATATTTATTCTAAAGCTGGTTTGCTATGGGGGGTCATGAGAGCTTTATTAGATAGAGTAATCTCTCCAAGAAAACAGAGAAATAAACCATCTTACCATGTATGTACCTATGCAACAATCCTGCATGATCTGCACATGTTCCCCAGAATCTAAAGTAAACAATAACAACAAAATTAAATATACCTTCAAGGTACTGACTTACCTTGGATGAAGTTAAATTCATGTCTCCCCAAATAACAATGCCTGCAGCTCCCAAGGCAGCACTTTCTCCTATGGTGCTGACTAGATCTTGCTAGATTGAAGAGAGTAGAGTTCATTATTAATTTGAACGTAAAACAGCCCACCAGGGATTAGGGTTAGAGTCTGAGTTCAGTATAACAGGGCTGGTACTGAGCTCATATACTCCATAGAGACCTATTTTCTGCTTTCTTAGAATTACTCAAATGCTGAATAAACCAATGCTCAAAAATCACCCTCTGTAATCATAAGCAAAACCATATAAATAGTTTTCAAGAAAAACATATTTTGCCATGCAGGATATTATTTTGAAGACAATGAGCCTGTACATGATTGTCAGAAATTATTTAATTGAAATAGATTGGCACATATACCCACACACTAGGTCACATGTATGTGCCCTGAAAACAGACTCCAAAATTTTCTTCACCAAATGCGATCCTCTTAACCAGGTTCCTTTTCCATTTTGCAACATGCCCCAGTGACACTTCACCCCACAGTGACTTGGATGGGTTTGTATCATTTCACTTCCAAGGCCAGGCAAAGAAGCAATGTGAAGGGTTGCAGGCTCTGATTATACTTGTCCTGAAATTATTATGGCCCAGCTTTTACACTCGTGTTTAGTTTCTAAGTACCTGACTGATTGGGTTTTATTTCTGACTCATCCAATCATGATAAAGTCACTGGAATTCTCTGCAATATGGTTAAGATGGACAAAGGTAAGGTTTTAGCACAGGGAATTTTGATTTTATAATATTAAAGTTTTTTTTTTTTAGTGTTTAAAGATTAACTTGGATCTAGGCCATTTTATAACTAAGATTTGAATGTATGTAGTTGGTTTCCCACTTTGTTAATTATAATACATTTCCCCATTCTTTAGGATACTAAGCATTCACCTTTTACTCCAAGGATGAATTTCTCTTTTAAATGCTAGAAAATGTAATTAGGTGATTTGGTGGAAAATAAAAACAGAACTGTAAATGCTATTTTTCATTGGACACAATATTAATACTTGAGAGATAAATCTCTTTATCTGACACTTTGATTGTCTAAGACTCAAGGGTTTTAAAGTTTTTTTTGTTTGTTTCTGGGCAGTTGTCTTGTGACTTTCAAAAAGGAAAGAGATTTTGATTTAAACTAATTTCCCTTTCAGATTAACATCCATTTTCATCCCCTATGATGATAATATCTGCTGAACAAGTCATAGCTGACATGACAGGAAGGAGAGGAGGTTTTGAGAGGTTCAGGCGAGATAGTATCGATGAAAGGATTTTGAAAACTGTCAGTGGTACAATGAACGGGGCCCAGAGGAGGAGCTGCCGGGAAGTACCCAGATTGCAGACTGCTGAGTCCATGTCCGCCCCCTCTTTGGACAAAGACATAAGGGAGCAGAGCTCCTCACTCCCCTCACTTTGAAATTTCTCTGGCAACAGTGTCATGATGGTCACATGGTGTGATCAGGCAGAAATCCCCAAGCTCTCCACTGTCATCAAAGGAAGATAAGGTCATGGTTATGGATCTACAGTAAGTATGTAAGTGGCAGATATTTGTGGTAAAAGCCATGAACACCTTCTGAGGTTGCTGTTGGTTTCTTCCAAATTAGTTTTTAAATTAGTTTCTCACCAAATTAGTTCACTGCCACCTCACAGAGAGCAGAGTACTGAATGAATCAGAAAGCAGCTATGTTTTGGGGATCAGAAAAGCAAGGGCACTACCGAGCAAGGGAAGTCACAGATAAAGTGCCTCTGGGAGCAGACTGGGACCAGCTGAAAGCTTGGGCATGGGGTGATGTCACATTAAGGAGAAAGAAAGGAGCAAAGTAGATGTACTGAAAATGAGCCTCCCAGGTCCCATTGTGGCACAGGGTGCTTTGCATCTACACATGATCCTTGGACCTGAATCAGGGTTTCATTAGCAGAGGATAGGGCTACTCAAGGGATTCACTCCACACTTGGGTGTCAGTCCCTGACATTTACCAGAGTGCATGTAAGCAAGGTGCCCACTGTGGGGAGCTGGAGCATTACTAATGAGCTGCCTTTGTGCCTTACCTGAGACAGCATGAATTAATGACAGGGATAAACATCTTTAAATCTATAGGCAAGGAAACTCCTTTCGTTAATTTTTAAAAGCACAGCTCACAGATGGAACAGGAGGCCGTTATCTTAAGTGAAATCACTCAGAAACAGAAAGTCAAATATCAAATGCGTTTACTGATAAGTAGGAGCTAAATGATGGGTAACTACAGACATACAGAGTGCAATAATAGACACTGGAGACTCCAAAAGGTGCAAGGGTGGGAGGGGGGTGAGGGATGAGTAATGCTCTGTTGGGTAAAATGTACACTTTTAGGGTGATTGGGTACACTAGATGCCCAGACTTCACCACTACTCAATATATCCACGTAACAAAACTGCACTTGTACCCCCTAAATGTATAAAAATGAAAAACTAATAATAGTAAAAGTTTTAAAAACAGAGCATCAGGTTATATCTAGGTCGCATTCAAATGTAAATAATATAGGCGACCTTCTGTGTGAAATGAGGTTTGACTGCCAAGCTATAGCTACTGCCTGAGATCCCATTCTTAAAAATCCCATGTTTAAGATGCTGATGGCTGTTAAAAAAGTAATAGCCATACCCCATAGGTTTCTGTAGAGCTTCACACTTTTCGTATGCGTTTTCTCACTTGATTTTCATACTACTTCTGCTAGGTGAGTAGGACAGATAATATTGTCCCATTTTGTACCTGAAGAAACTAAGACACTAACTCCAGGGAGGCTAAGAGATTTGCTACTTACCAGTGAATCTTTTTTGTAATCTTAACTGTATGTGGGTGTGCATTCTAAAATTCAGACATTATTGGGAAAATCAGAAATGGAAGCCATTAACAGTCATTTAGAGTTTGGTACAAATGAATATTAGGTTTTTAATAATTTATGGGCATGGCAGGGCACAGTGGCTCACCCCTGTAATTCCAGCACTTTGAGAGGCAGAAGTGGGTAGATCACTTGATGCCAAGAGTTCGAGACCAACCTGGCCAATAAGGTGAAACCCCATCTCTACCAAAAATACAAAAATTAGCCCAGCATGGCAGCACATGCATATAATCCCAGCTACTCAGGAAGCTGAGGCAGGAGAACTGCTTTAACCCAGGAGATAGAGGCTACAGTGAGCTGAGATCGTGCCACACTCCAGCCTGGGTGACAGAGGGAAACTCCATCTAATAAATAAATAAATATAAAAAAAATTTATAGGCCAATTTTTAAAGTCAGTAGGGTACAATGATGGATACCCTTATAGTTTAAAATACTTGGAAATAGCTTGTCACTCAGAAAAAAAGAGCGCAGAATGAGATGAAACCCAAATTGTTGCTCCTTTTTCCAGAGAGGAAAGAGAGCATTTCCGAGGCTATAGCTACTAGAAAAAGAAGCTTATCCCAGGTTCACAGAATGTGCAGAATGTCCCGGTAGTCTAAATTCATCTTTGAAATGAACATTTTCTCCCTCATGGTTTATTGTTTCTTCCAAAAGTCAATTTATTATCACTAAAGAATCAGGTTAATCAAATATAGAAAAGACGTTTTATTTAAAAAGCTGGTATTTAAATTTCTACTCAATTCCAGAGTCAAGATTATTTTGTAAATACTTAGGTAACTTTTTAAAACCTTCCAGACAGCAGTGACTTTCTATTATTATTCATTCAATTATTTATCACTGATGTTTCTGGGTGGTATGAATAGCAGTTCACAGTAAAGACATTTTTTCTTTCCTCCCTCACCTCATGAATGATGTCAGAGGTATGGCATTTACCATATTTTATACATATGCATCATTTCTCCCTCTGAAAAATACACTCCATTTATGTTCCAAAGATACCTGGTCACTTTAGAGCCCTCACCTCTGTGTTTTCTATGCCTCCTCTTTAGGATGTCTAGAACTCAGAACGTCTTTATTTTAACAGATATTGGTGTGTTGAAATTTGTAATGGTGGAGAAAGAAAAAATGGCTCCGTTAAAATATATTAAGCCGCTAGTATCCAGCAATACCTTAAAACATCACGTATCACACATGTGAAGGCCCCCACAAGTCCCAAGTCTTCTCAATGTAGAAAAGTTACACAAAATTATCAATCCGAAGATTAGGCTGGGCATGGTGGCTCACACCTGTAATCCCAGCACTTTGGAAGGCCGAGGCGGGTGGATCATCTGAAGTCAGGAGTTCAAGACCAGCCTGTCCAACATGGTGAAACCCCGTATCTACTAAAAATACAAAAAATTAGCTGGGCACGGTGGCGCGTGCCTGTAATCCCAGCTACTCAGGAGGCTGAGGCAGGAGAATTGCCTGAACCCAGGAGGCAGAGGTTGCAGTGAGCCGAGATCGCACCATTGCACTCCAGCCTGGGTAACAAGAGCGAAACTCCGTGTCAAAAAAAAAAAAAATGTAGCTAAGCATGGTGGTGCCTGCCTGTAATCCAAGCTACTTGGGAGGCTGAGGCAGGAGAATTACTTGAACCCCAGAGGCAGAGGTTGCGGTGAGCTGAGATTGCATCACTGCACTCCAGCCTGGGTGACAAGAGCAAAAACTCTGTCTTGAAAAACAGAAAACAAAGATTGGAATACCCACTACTTTTCCCTAGAATTTTTCATTTAAGTGGCTAGACTAGCAAAGAGAGAAGATGAGAGGGAAAACTCTGGGTGAAAGTTCACTTATTTTAATAGTTACCTTCCTGATTTGTATGAGGTGTTTGGGAGAATATGTGGGTTGATTAAAAATAAACAGACAGAATAAAACTTACCTGTAAGTGTGAACCTGGGTTTCAAAACTATCTACTGGTGATTTCAGTGTTGAATTTAGGAACTCACGTCACTCTTACCATCACTTTTCATTAGCTGTAGTCAGAGAGGCAAGAGTAACCCAGATGGCTAAATCTATAGACTCACCTGCTTTTAGAAGGTTCGCCATCTCTTTCATACCCTTTTAAAACTTTAATTTTTTTTAATTGTGGCAAAAAGCATATAACATAAAATGTACCATTTTAGTTCAGTAGCGTTAAGTATATTCAGATCGTTGTACCTCCCTCATACCTTGTACCAAAGCTGGTATTATTTATTAAAAAGAAAAAACTTATTTTTTAATCTTTTGGGTTTTAAGATGGTGAAGCCAGAATCAGAAATATCTTCAATTCTGCTTCCACGTGGATGAGCAAACACTCCATTTCAAAATATCCTTTCTGGTTTTCTAACCTGCTCACTGCCAGTCATTCCAATAACCATCCAAAATGGCCAATTGTAAGTGAGTACACTTAAAGTCGGCGTGTAGGAAATGTAGTAGTTGCTGGTATCTACTTTCAGCCTTTCTCACCTTACTTCATTCCTTAAAATAAAATAATAAATAAAATAATCAAAATTCGGTTTGCATAAATGAAAAGTCTAAATGCATGGCTAGTCAAGGAAGAATTATCTCCTACACAACAGACCATTAATGGAAATCAGCTCTTCGAAGAACACAATTAACAAAGAACTGTCCTTTTAGAGATAAGGAGGAAATCCCCCACCATTAGACAAGAAGCTTCTTACCTTAGAAAGAAAAACTAAAGGCTCATCTCTGTACCCTAGCCTTGTGTAGACAAATACAGGCAGAGCATAATCGTAAGATGTCATAGTGGAGATTCTCATGGATTCATGCACCCGAAATTGGGAGAAGCGCAAAATGTTTTCATTGCCTCCAAGGGACTTCCTGATACCGACGGAAGGATATAAAGCAGCGCTGCTGTTCCAAAGCCAACAGAGCTCATTGTTCCTCAAGATTTCCTCTTCTGGGCATGATCCAGTGTAGTTTGGGGCATAAACGTTATAATTGTGGCAATCAGGATATAAGTAATAACCCCAAAGGCCTTTGGGGCGGCTCTTAATTCCCCGTTTGATGGTTTCTTTCATGAAAGCTTTTGCACTTTCTTCAAAGGTCACTTTAGCTAAATATTCAATATCGGTAGCTGATACATTCTTTCCTCTGTCGGAAATAAGCTTTCTTGACTTCTGTCTGTAGACGTCTTTTGCATTCCAGTTCCGGGCCCACTGTGGTCGCCAGTATTCCCAATCTATAACAGCAAGTCCACTGAAATCTTCAGCAGGGATGTAATAATTAATATCTTGGTCAACTTTTTCCAGATGTACTTGTAAACTTACATTCTGTGGGAGACCCCCATTAATGGGGACCCCTTGTGATGTATACCATGGATAGTATCCTAATCTGTTGACATAAAATATAGTGACATTTTGCCCCCTGGCCTTGGCCAGTGGACTTCCAATCACCTGAAACATTTTCAAATTTAATCTTAAATTATATTTTATCAAACACTGATCTGTTGGAGCATTCCAAGCAGCTATAAAAGGTTTCCTTTGATAAATTGGAAGTCGAGCAGGTTTTAAACAAGAGATAGACTTTAGAATAAAAAATATAAGGAGCCACGAAGTGGGATGTACTGGTTGAACAACACAAAGCCTTAATTGTCCTTCAGATAATACTTTCATGGTAAGATAAAAATCTTACGTTGTCTTCTGCCCTAATGCACTCTAGAAGACCTGTGGAGAGATTTAATTTTCTGTTAGTAATAGTTTTGAGGAAAAAGATGCAAATAATAAATAGATATTATTAGCATATTGACTATTTTTAAAGTGTATCACTTAAAGACTTTAAAGAGGACTATAAATAAATTGAGATATAGAAGCACATGTAGATATAGAACCTAGCTTCCATTCAGGGCAGAAAATGCAATTCCACAAGCATTCATGGGGCACCAGACCCTACATCCAGAAAACAAAATGAATAAGATGTGGTCCTTGCCTTTGAGGAGTTCATGATCAAATAAAGATGTGAACTAATATTCACTATCATTCTGGAAAACTCATCAAATCCTAGGCATTGTGCTTAAGTGCTTTGTAATATTTACTTTTTTAAAACAACTTGTAATAACTGTGTAAGGCTTATAATTACGTTTCCATTTTACAAATGGGGAAACTGAGATTTAGAGAGATGAAGAGGCTTGCCTGATGTCACATTATATGGACTGAAAGGTGATGTAAAATTTAAATAATAAAAACCCATAACTAAGTACTACATGAAAATTTATTGGAGCAATTACTTCTTCTGGGAGTAAGCAGTAGGTAGAAATGGAAAGGAACGTGAATGAGTGGCAGGAAATTAAAACCAGCCCAACTGTCCCAAAGAATAGATATTTTGGGTTTCTTTCTAATAAACTTAGCAATTGACTCTCCCAGTGTAAAACTTAACAAAGTAACATTGTCTTATCTGGGTTCCTTTCACGAGAAACCAACCATGGAGCTTCCCAGAAAGTTTCAAGGAAATGAAACTTACCAGATCATCACATCTAGACAATGAGACACCAGATGCCTCACTTCTCATGATTGCCTAACTGACCACCTGCCTGTTGACCAACTCCTCTCTCTTACCCCTCTTTCATTCCTGTTTTCCCACACATTAGTTACATTTCTTCCCTACTTTATAAACCCCAAATTTTAATTGCTTGGGGAGATGGATTTGAGACTGATCCTTCATTCTCTTTGGCTGTAGCACCCAAATATGACCTTCTTCTGCAATACTCCTTGTCTCAGTGATTGGCTTTCTGTGCAGCAGACAGCAGGACATAGACCAAACCCTTGGTGTAACATAATGTCTCAGGTAAGAGACTGGAGTTGAAAGAGAAGATAGGTAGGTGTTTCGATAGTAGGAGATGGAAGAGGATAGTGACTACTTTGTCAAGTTGTTTTTAGTCATCTCTTTGTAAAACTACTACAAAATTATTTTTGAAAAAGCTCATCAGAGAGTTTAATGGCATAAAACATTTTCAGTCTTCTGGGTTATTAAGATGAAAATGGACTGTGGTTATGCCTGAAGCCTAGTGAGATTAAGGTGTCCAGTAGACATTTGTCCTTTGGCTGTGTGCTCAGGGTACAGACCCCTTTCCTCTGTAGTTAATTCTGCACCACATGTATCTTGGAAGGCAAAGCCCATATTTCATTAAATAAGCCAAAATGTCCCAGCCTTCCTTGAAGGTGTGGTGCTGGTCTATGACTGTGGTCAGCCCAATTAGATTCAACCTAATCTAGACTTTGAATTGGGATACTGATATTCAAAGAGGCTGAGATAGCATTGTCAGTGGTGACAGAAATTCCAGTGTCAAGGAGCAGCAAGCTGGGGCATCCAGAACCTGATGCCCATAATGTTACTGTTAAGTGGAGATATTATCCTTATGGGACACCGCCTTTCTGCTCAAGGACACAAGGTTTGTTTTGGTTGCTTACAACCAGGAACTCTGATTGATAGAGAAGTGATATGGTTTGTCTGTGTCCCCACCCAAATCTCCTCTTGAATTGTAGCTCCCATAATCTCCCTGTCGTGGGAAGGACATGGTGGGAGGTAATTAATCATGGGGATGGGTTTTCCCATGCTGTTCTTGTGCTGGTGAGTAAGTCTCATTAGATCTGATGGTTTTATAAAGGGTAGTTCCCCTGCGTATGCTCTCTTTCCTGTGTCCATGTAAGCAAACATGCCTTTGCTCCTCCTTCGCCTTTCGCCATGATTGCAAGAACTCCCCGACCATGTGGAACTGTGAGTCCATTAACTCCCTTTTTCTTTATAAATTACTCAGTCTCGGGTATGTTTTTATTAGCAGCGTGAGAGTGGACCAATTCAAGAGCCTCTGTGGCTTCTATTTCCTCCAATAAAGCCTGCTACATGTTGTATGTAATTATCATGTTTAACCACCAGGTGTCACTAGCCAAACCTCATAGCATTTTTCAGGCTTCAGACACTGCTGTAAACAAAAATTTTAAGTAATTCACAAAACTTCCTCCAAAGACATTTAAGAAGCCTTAAGTAAATGGATAAACACAAAACAGCAGGTTTTTTTTTCGTTTTAGGATTTAGCTTCACTCTTGTTGCCCAGGCTGGAGTGCAATGGTGTGATCGCAGCTCACTGCAACCTCCACTTCCCAGGTTCGAGCAATTCTCCTACCTGAGCCTTCCCAGTAGCTGGAATTACAGGCATGCACCACCACACCCAGCTAATTTTTTGTATTTTTAGTGAGACGTGGTTTCACCACGTTGGTCAGGCTGGTCTCAAACTCCTGACCTCAGGTGATCTACCCGCCTCGGCCTCCCAAAGTGCTGGGATTAGAGGCATGAGCCACCGCACCCAGCCAGAACACCAGTTTTTAAGAGCTATAGAGGTAGATATTTTCATTCATTGAATAAATACTCTTTCATGCACAAAGCTAAGATTACCCCCACTTAGTAGCATGAAATATATCATATTGCAGCTCTAAATTGTGGTTTGAAAAAAAAAAGTATTTTCAAGGGAATCTAATTTTATGAGTAAGAAAAATTGTGGTTCTCAAAACTTCCCCTTCTCTTTGATTTTTTATTATATTTTTTGCCTCCAGGTAAGAAAAATATGCATATGCATTCATTAATAAATGGGGGAAGAAACATTTCTTTAAATTTAAAATTCAGTTATATTGGAAAGGACTATATTTGTATATCAAAAAAAAAGAAAAATCTACTCTGCCAGACACTTCCTGTTTTGGTTTCATTCAAAACATAGTTTTCCACTGACTACTGTTTCCCCTTTGGTCCACTCCCTCATCACCACCATAAATGAACATCCTGGTTCATTTATTACAAAGTTACCAAGTGATTCTCTTCTCCTATTCTGGAATGTTATTATTCTTTTTATTCTGGTGAACTGGAGGTGCACCTTACATGGCAGATGGCAGATTAGCTCCTGACAAAATGTGTGGGTGCACAACCAAAACAGGCAAAATAAATAAATACTGTGCCCATGTCTTCTGCTTGCTGTATGTCGGGTTTCTGCTTCCTATGCAGCCAGGTAAGGGTGCTGGTGTGCCCTCCTAGTTAAATGTGGCTTGCTGGGAGAAGATCCCCTCATGTGATCCCTCGCAGACATGGTTTTTCCTTCCGTGTCCCACCATGCAATCTCTCTTCTGCTTCTCCTGTTCTTCCTTCACCAAGGGATCTCCAGAAGCCTGCCCTTCCAAAAGCACCCTTTGCTTTGGAGCTCCTCTAGACCCCATTCCTTCACCCCACCTATGCCATCAAAATCCCCACCGCGGAGCTCTGCCTTATCTTGACTAGCTCTTGTAGTATCGCAACCTGTGCAATTATCCACAGTTAACCATGCGTCACCAGCGATAGCAACCTTCCGTTTGTTTCTCCCTTCCCACTTCCATAACCTGCCTTGGAAAACGTGCTCCTGTAAACAAACCTATAAATGACAGAATGTTTAGAACGAGTTGGCAAGATATTGGTGGTAGACGTGAGTGAGGAATTTAACCTGGGCTTGTCCTTTACATTTTATTGTACAGTTTTCTCTTCTTAGAAGTAAGGTCTGTTCTGGGAACATATATGAAGAACCAGTTCCGTTTCTTCAACAAGGAAACTTCTCTGAAGACATTTTAAAGGCCCTGCACAAATGATTTTCAACAAAATGACATACTCATTAAAGCCGTAGGTAAAGGGAAGTAGCTTTCTCCTGACTCCTTCCCTGATGGAAGGAAGTGAGGAAGGTTCAGCTGCTATTATGTGCACCTTGGCTGCACAGTTCTAGTCTTTTTGCCCTGACCAGAGACAAATGCGACAAAAGCAGCGGACAGACAGGGCCTATTTCAAGTTAACTCAAGGACCTCACCTTATCATTGCCCCTTCTTCCTGACAGTGAAGGAGACACCGAAGAAGGTGGCAGGAGGGGTGTTCTTGTGAGGGAGACAGGACCACCACGTACAGCTACAAGAGTCTGCAAAAAAAACTCTATCCCCTACTTATTCCTATCTCCCCTCTCACTCCTTCCCCAAGGACGCTTACTTGCTTTTGATAAATTAAAAGTAAAAAAGAGAGAGCAACCCCTGGCATTCAGAAACCTGTAGTACTCAGAGCTAGGCTGCAAAATGCTTCTCTTAAACAATGTCACAGAATACCAGTCTGGACAAGTTTACTCTCAGACCACAATAAAATGAGACAAAACAAGGCCACTTTTCAATTTTGCCGAGGATCAGAAAAGAAGGTCACTGTGCAACCCACAAAATACCAAACATCCCTCTCTCTCTTGCTGAATGAATGACTGCTATTCTTTACCCAATCACAGAAATGCCTCTGCTTTCTGACATCTAATTCAGAGCAAATCTTTGCTTTCTTAGACTCTCCCTCAAATCACCCAATCAAAACCCAAATCATATGATAGGTTTCTCCTAACACCCTCTTACTGAGACGCCCCATGGCTTCCCATGGTGTGTACCCTCCCTTCCCACAATAAGTAATAAAGCCAACTAATTTAACTGCAGATGTGCTCCTGGTGGTCTCCGGGGCCCTGACCTCTGTTTGAAGGCAGAGGCACTTAGTATCCATTCGTATAAGAATTCAGAACATTTTTATTGAGCATCTTCTGTGTATCAGGCTCCCACCTAAGTACTAACAATTTAATAGTGAACAAAACAAACAAAAGCCTTTGTCCTCACAAAGTTTACATTTTTGTAGGGGAGGCAGATAC